GCTTGCAGGCACCGGCAGTGGGCAGAGAGCCCTCCATCCCCCCAACCCACCCACCCTACCCGACCCAACCCTAGGAGCCAGAGGGACCTGCTGGAAGCTTCCCGGGAGCCACCCCAGGTAAGCACCGCCAGGACTCCCCACCTTGCCCCCCGGCAGGTCCCTCTGGCTCTTAGGGTTGGGGCCCCATGCACGGCACAGAGCGGTGGAGACCGCCGCCCCGGGCTCTTGCCATCCCAGGAAGCGCAGTGAGCCAGCACGGCTGCGAGCTGGGGGAGAAGCCCACCCCAAAGTGGCGGCGCAGCGCTACTGGGGGACCGGCTGCCACCTGGCTCCAGGCAGCTGGAGAGGGCCTCGGCACCGCCCTGCCCCGCAGACCGCGCAGCTCCACTCCCCATTCACTGTGCACACAGCTCCCTGAGGCACGCGGGTTCTGTTCAGTGTTGGGCGCCACACGCGCCAGGGGGGTAAATAGCTCCCCAGCCCCCACCACGCTGCCCGCGCGCGGCTGCCCCACCCAACGCAGCCGTGACCCAACGAGGGCGTTTGGCCGGTGATTGCAGCCTGCAGCGGCCGGAGGTGGGGAGGGCACCGAGGGGTCCGCGGCTGAGAGCAGGGGCGGGTGGTGCCCCGATGTGGGGCAGTTTCCCATGTGCCTCCCCCAACTATCTCCCATGGTGGGGGTGGTTATAAAGCCAGGCGGGAGAGTCAGTGGCCACTTTGGGTGAGTCTGCGCCGCAGTTTAAGCGCAGGGTTAGTGGGACTTGAGTCAGCTGAGCTGTGTTAGGGAGCCCGGGGCTTAGGGTGACCAAAGGTCCCAATATTAGAGGCTTTGTCTTATATAGACAACTATTCCCCCCACACACCCCCGCCGCCCCAAAAAAAAAGGTGTCCCAATTTTTTTACACTTGCTATCTGGTCACCCTACACCAGCCATGCGAACGCCTGTTCTCACTTTCAGGTGAGATTGTAAACAAGAAGCGGGCAGCATTATCTCCTGCAAATGTAAACAAACTTCTTTGTCCTAGCGAGTGGCTGAACAAGAAGTAGGACTGAGTGGCCTTGTAGGCTCTAAAGTTTTACATTGTTCTATTTTTGAATGCAGTTATTTTTTGCACATAATTCTACATTTGTAAGTTCAACTTCCATGATAAAGAGATTGCACCACAGTACTTGTATTAAGTGAATTGAAAAGTACCATTTCTTTTTTCTTTTTTACAGTGCAAATATTTGTAATCAAAAATCAATATAAAGTGAGCACTGTGCACTTTGTAATCTGTGTTGTATTTGAAATCAATATATTTGAAAATGTAGAAAATATCCAAAAATATTTAAATAAATGGTATTCTATTCTTGTTTAATAGAATGATTAATCACGATTAATTTTTTCATCACTTGACAGCCCTAATGCTTATACATTTGCAGTACTGTGGAAACAGCGCTTCCAAGGTACTGAAAATGGGTCCAAGATCTCTTTCTTGATGAGTAACAGCTAATTTAGGCACCATCATTTTGTATGTAGAGTTGGGATTATATTTTGCCACGTGCAGTACTTTGCATGTAACATTGAATGTCATCTGCCATTTTCTTGCCAAGTCACCCAAATTTGTGGGATCCTTTTGTAACCCTTTGCTCTCTGGTTTTGACTTAGCTAACTATCTTGAGTAATCTTATATCATCTGCAAACTTTGCCACCTCCCTGTTTACCCCTTTTTGCAGATCATTTATGAATACGTTGAACAGCATTGATCCCAGACCAGTACAAACTCCTGGGGACACCGCTATTTACTTCTCTCCATTCTCAAAATGGGCCATTTATTCCTACCCTTTGTTTTCTGTCTTTTAACTGGAGTGCCTGGGAATGCTAATGATCCTTAATTTAATGACAAGCCTTTTGTTATCTTAATCACCCTATCTCTGTTCATAAAAAAACTTCCTGCACCGAGGGGCAGAATCATTAGCAGCGCCCTTGCCCCCCCCGCCCCAGGCGATTGGGGAGGGGCATGTGACCCGTCCCCACACACGCGCATTTCCCCTGCAGGCAGCCGTGCAGCCCTTCCCATGAGCTCAAAGGTGCCGGCCATGTTTGTAGTCCTTGCCCAGGAATTACAATCACTGGTGAGGCAGTGGAATGCTTGTCTACACTCTCCTAGCACCACATTCTTCTGAAGGAGAAGTGAACTTCGAAAGGTTCAGATGAGCGCCCACCCTTCTGGAATCCAAAGCTTTGCGGCATGATCCAAACTTCAGGCGAGTGCAAACTCATGCTAAATGAGTCCTTGGTGATATTAACGTGACACCGAAGTAGAGGTCCAGGGCCTGCCTGGCTGTAGAATAGGGACTGGGCAGCCAGTTTGGGTAAATGAAAATTTCCTTGGACTGTTACCCGTTTCTGGAACTGAATGGGGCCAGAACCTTTTTCTGAGGGAAGAAATGGTTCGTCGACCTTCAGTTCTGCCTTGCCAGAAGCAGAAATGCTGGTGTCTCGCAAGAAAGCACGTTCTGTGCAAAGATCTTGGGCAGCATGTGGTCCATAAAGTGCAAACACATGGGGTGCAACCATAGCCCCATTGAAATCAATGGGTGCTTTGCCATTAACAGCAATGGGACACTATTTCACCCATGTTATCTAAGTCCAACTCACTTCTCCTTAGTTCTGGCATTTGCTTCGAGACCTTGATATGAATTATTCATCTAACTACATCCTTTGATGAAGACATTGACTTTTGTCATAGAATTGTATTTTTTTTTTTTTAATGAAAATACAAAACAGAATATGATACATTTACCAGGTACAATACTACATCTTAGCACGCGCCAATCCTTTTCGCCTTGTGCTTTAAATTAAATAACACTTTAAATACTACAGAGCAAGCAATTGAAATCCACTGTTTCCAGCCACATCACCCCAATATAACAAAGATCCACCCTGGACAGTCAGTCCTCCCGCACTCTGCCAACATGACCATAGTGTAGGATTTTTTAAAGAAATAATAAGCCCAAACCTGCACCAGTAAAAATCAATGGCAAAATTCGCCTCTGATTTCAGTGGCGGCGGATTGGGCCCAATGTGAGCTTGCATTTGCTAAGAAACTGCAACTGTTTAAAAAAATTACTGGCCCCTGATTAGCTGAAAGTAATTCCAAAGTTCCACCAACACACTGGCCAGTCAGCTGTCCCAAGAACTCCCTAGCTGCCTTATCCTATACAATATGGATGCTTGCAGCCCTGAGCATAAAAATGACACTGATTACAGCCAGGGGCAATCAACTCTGTCTGGGTGAGTGTGGACTGGATAAGGGGGCAGGGCCAAGTGGCTGGAGCACGGTGCTGGAGGGCATCCGTGCCCCACCTGCTCCACAACTACCCTACTGCTAGAGGCATTAGGGTTGCTCCTGCCCTGTGCAGATCACATCTAAGGGTCACTGCACCCACCACTGAAATGGAAGGTGCCAGCTTTTCGCCACCCACCGCAAGGCACCATAACAGTTTCGATCAAGCAAGGAGGAATAGCCATTCGAGCAGAAGAATGCCCTCTATAAACAGCCGCAGGAGGAATGTAGGGGGCAGACTCTAACTATCTGAGATGACATTGGGCCAGGACACTGGAACTAAAGCCCCTTCTCTCATAAAAAGTGTCATGGGATCTTTCAGTGGCCCAGACTTCAGTTTTAGGTCTGCAGGTCTAACATCAAAGTGCCCCTTAACGGCCTCCTGGGTCATTAGTCCAGAACTGGCTTAGTGGGAAGAGGGAAGACAATAGCTGCTCAGTCACCAGTCCTCCTTCCTGCAGCATTGAACTCCAGCTATTCTGTGATGAAGTCCATGATCATTGCTAGAACACTCCCTGCTAGAACACCAAGAGGACACAGTTTTGTACTGAAGACATCAATCAGTCCCAGGCATTGCTAACGTTCACTAACAAGGGACGGGTTAGGAGATCAGTAGCCTGCACTCTGCATTTGCATTACATTTCTAAAGATATGTACTATAAAAATAATAGGCTAAATTTTGTATTTAAAGGACTATCCTTTGTACATCATTCTGACAAGCTACGGGTTACTATTCCCATAGGGCTAAATTCACCCCCGTGCATGAAGGCCTATGTACTTCCAAATAGGCTAACATAATGCATTAGTCATTGGGTGCCGGCCCTCTGCACAGGGCTGAATTTCACACAGAAAACTCAAGTATACACCATATCTGATCACACTCTGAATCCCTCGTACCAAGTTACCTCCAGCCCCCTCTACAAAACCAACACCCAAGGGGAAGGGAACTGGATCTCAATCAAAAACAAATATTGTTGGGACGAAACCCATCAGCCCAGCTTCTGGGTCAGAGTTCCCATACAGTGTATCTTCTGGTTCCTAATTGGGGTAACCTCAGCACCTATGCCTTGTCTATCTTTTCTTTCCCAGAAGTTGAGTACAGAATCAGCTGTGGTTAGCTTGTTCTACTGTTTGTATGTACTTAGTGTATTACTCAGATAAAGCAGCTGCATTTTATGTGTCTTAGGTTTTGTTATACATGTTTTACTTTTTTTTTTCCACGCGCACCTTTATATTTTGGAGGTCCAATCCTGTTCACATTGAAGCCAATAAGCGCAGCACTGGATTAGTGATATATATGTGTGTGTTGCTACAGTGGCCCATATCCTGACGATTTCTTACCCAGGCAAAAGTCCTACTGGGGTCAATGGAAATTTGTCCTGAGTGAGGACAATAAAAATTTAGTAAGGGACCTTCAGGATTTGGCCCACAGGACTTACATTCTGTAATGTCTAGCTGTATACAATCAATAACCATTTGCATAAAAATCTGTTGCCTAGTAGCTTTACAGTGCATTAATACCATGGTGATAGATGCTATATATAAGCCTGTGAGGGAGGGATAGCTCAGTGGTTTGAGCATTGGCCTGCTAAACCCAGGGTTATGAGTTCAATCCTTGAGGGGGCCACTTAGGGATCTGGGGCAAAAATCTGTCTGGGGATTGGTCCTGCTTTGAGCAGGGGGTTGGACTAGATGACCTCCTGAGGTCCCTTCCAACCCTGACATTCTATGATTGTATGGACAGATAGATACAGAGGTGTAGGAGTGTTACACCTTCCTCTGAATCAGCCAGTGTTGACCACTGCCAGAGACAAAATACTAGACTAGATGGACCGTTGGTCTGTTCCAGCAGAGTAGTTTCTATCCTCCTAAGTCTAAATGTATTACTGGTAGTTACTCAGTGCTCTGAAAGTAAACTACCCATTCATTGTCTTTTGTAACTGTCAAACAGAACGGCTCACCAATCAGACTCCATGTTGGTTCCACGTGAAAAGAAAAATCACTAGATGTTTGGTGTCTGGTGGCTTCTTCTGTTTCCAGGTATCACAATGGCTCTTTTTTATATATACAACAGTATGTCTTTGTTCTGTAACATCACATCTGTGCTAGGAACTGGTTAGGTCCAGGGACCACAGCTGGAGGAGAGATTTGATTAGCAATGAGTCCAGTTTTTCAATGTGGGTGATTAAAGTTAGTCCCCTGAATCCATAGTTAAACACCTTAATTCTTGTTTTAGCCAACCATGGTCTGATTTTTTACAGGTGTCAAGTTGCAGGTGCTCAACATTCTGTGAAAATTAGGTCACTAAGTGCTAGAGTGACCAGACAGCAAGTGTGAAAAATCGGGACGGGGGTATAGGCACCTATATAAGATAAAGTCCCAAATATTGGGACTGTCCCTGTAAAATCGGGACATCTGGTCACCCTACTAAGTGCTGATTCTTAGTTGCCTAAGGTGGGGGTTTAGCTGCCTAACTAGAGGCCTAACTTTAGGCAGCCACATTGGAAAACTGGACTCAAAGTGGTCAGGTCTGGTAACAGTTAGTGGCATGGTTGGCCCTTGAAGCCTGGACCAACCAGCAACCAGTTGAGTGACAACTCTGGTATCACTCAAACAGAATCGGAACAGAATGGCACCACATGGGGACCCAAAGTGCAGGGAGTGAAGCAGCAGAGGGGTAACAAATGCAAAGTTTGGGACCACACGCTTCAGGCAGGGAGAGGATCGAGGTGGTGTAACATTCGGCTTGAGAGCAGCTTGGTTGGGTTTTTAGCTGGATAGTGCCAGAATGGAACTATTCCAATACCCGTTCAAAAACATGCCTTTGGCACCGACTGGCAACCAGCAGCTAAGCTGCTCTATAACTGCTGTTACCTTTGCATATAATGATGCAAGATAAAAGACAAGTAACTCATTCCTAAAACGTCACCCTTGGCTCCCTGGGTGTTTTTTGGCATTCCACTCAGAAGCTGTGAGTTTCCTTAGTGTCCTTGGCCCATTTGCCTTGCACTGTTTTTTGGCTTAGTCCAGTATAAATCTGATTAGTGCCAGGTTTAGCCTCCCTGCTCCCAGTTAGAGTAATGTCCTAGAGTCCAGCTACTAGCGGTAGGAACCCAAGTCCGTGCCATGAAGGATTCAGATGACTTCCATAGCGTATTCATTAGTTCGAGAGCCCTGCTGATTAAAGAGCAAGCCTTGTACCATTTCTTTAGCTGAGTCTCCAGGGCAGCCTTTGGCCTTTACATACATATACATCCATACGGCGGCACTGCAAATACCCAGAACGCTCGCCAGCAAAGCAAGTCTGAGGATGTGGGTTCGGGATGCAGGCAAAATGCTGGCCACCAAGGGACCATCTGAAGGCCCCTGTGCTCTGTTCTGAAGTGGGAAGCTTTTGAAGGAAAGGATTGACGTTTCTGTAGGTGAAACGGATTCAGGAAAAGAGCGAGGAGGATCTTTCTTTCCTAAAGGAGATAAGTAGCTACCTGTGCGAACATCAGCCGTAGAGTCACTAACAGCATCTCTTTCATCACCGCCGTTGGGACTGACAGAACTACTTTGTCCTCCAGGAGATGTGGGGTGTGGAGTGGATCCCTGGGTGGCATCACTTCCTTTTAGAACAGCTGTGGGTTTCATGAAGCTTTTGAAGGAAAGGACTGACATTTCTGTAGGTGAAATGGATTCAGGAAAAGAGCGAGGAGGATCTTTTTTTCCTAAAGGAGATAAGTAGCTACCTGTGTGAGCATCAGCCGTAGAGTCACTAACAGAATCTCTTTTATCACCGCCGTTGGGACTGACAGAACTACTTTTTCCTCCAGGAGATGTGGGGTGTGGAGTGGATCCCTGGGTGGCAACACTTCCTTTTAGAACAGCTGTGGGTTTCATGGTAGAGTTCTCAATCACTTGCCCCATAGATGCAAGGCCTATAACAGGCTTGCTGGGAACAGATTCTAGAAGAGAAGGTGTTGTCAGGAACATAGGTGATAACTTGGCAATCGCAGGGCCATTTACAATGGATGGAGCATCTGAAATAAGTCTACTGGGAGCACTGGCAAGTCCATCAGCTGTTTGATTTCTAGTAGAGCCTACAGAATTGTATGTAGGTCGTATGGGACTCTCAAACCCTTTGATGACAGGGGTGGGATCTGAATTAAATCTGCTGGGAGCTGTGCCAGGTATATCAGTTGTTGGACTGATAGATCCTGTGGACTTGTTTCTAGATTCTACGAAACTCTCAGAGCTTTTCATGACAGGGGTGGGAACTGAATGAAATCTGCTGGAAGTGCTGTCAGCTGCTGGCGTGGTAATAGATCTTATGGAAACTTCGCTGCCATTGGCAACAGGCTCAGGGTGGATAGTAGATGGAGTAACAGTCTCTTGTAATGCAGAGGAGGATTTTGTAGAAGACCTCTTGGCCACTTGCACAGTCAATATGGATACGTTGGGCTCCTCCGTCCTCACAACAGAAACATGTACTGCTTGTGAACCTGGTGTGCCAGCCCCGTGAATGGGATTGGCCGGAACACTGGGCTGTGTTGGTGTAGAGACAGCATCGCCAACGAATCTGTGAAAAACGCCTGCCCCTTCTTCCACAACTGCAGAAGTGACGGTGCTTGAAAGTGGCGGATTCAGAGGGGCACTTGCTTGGTTTAGCTGTCGGACTGCTTCCTTCACCCAGCTCGCCTCTGGATCTGCACAGAACTCTTTATTCTTCTGAGTGACAAATCTGAGGAGAGACCAGAAACAGCAACAATCACAAGAAACAGAAAGGAAGAGATATGCAAAGCCTGGATAAAAGCAGTCGTGAGGAAGCTCATGCTACTTTGGCAGAAGCTAGAGACATTCTATTTTCTCAATGACTTCTGGAAGTTAAGTATAGCCATGTTCTGGTGTGCAGGAGATAGCGATCTAATCAGTTGGTGTTTGAGTCATGATTTGATGTGATGAATAATTTCCTGAGGCTAGACTTTCTTTTTCCTGTTCATTGTTAAAGTAACTATTTTGAAATGGGGCACTTGACCCGATTTTCACCTGAGGATGCTGTAATGAAGTTAAGAGGGGCTGACTGTGTAATCACATATAGGGTCGGATCCCGTTCCCATAGAAACCGAAGGGAATTTTGCCACCCACTGCAATGGGAGCAGGGCCAGACTAACACTGAAAGTACAATTCTGCTCTGTAAAGTGGCTGCAAATATGGCATCATGGGGCTCCATGTTTGTGCCTCACTGACGCCAGATTGTTATTTATTATTTAGCACCTACAGGCCCCTACTGAGCTCAGGCCTCTGTTGTGCTACGTGTACATAACTAGAGACAGCCCCTGGCGCAGAACGTTTACAGTCTAACAGACAGAGCAGATAAACAGTGGGAGGGGAAAGAGGCAGGTCACTGGCCAGACAGGGAACAGAACTCAGCTTTCCCGACTCGAGTTGGTAGGTTTTTGACTCAATCCAATTTTTAAGAAAAAGTGTCCGCTTTCCCGGGAAGTGTTTGACTTTTCGTCCAGAAAAAAAACAAACAAAAAAACAAAAACAAAAAACGAATGCCCAAATTTTTCAGCTGGAAACCAAAATGGAAAAGCTGTGATTTGGAAATTCTGCCATGGTGCCGCATGGGAGTTGTATCCTGACTGCCTCATTCCCCTTCCCTCCACCTTCTGGGGCTGGGTTCCCCAGCTAGACTACATCTCCCATGAGGCACTACAACCAGGGACTTCTATGATGTGTTGCATCAAGAGGGGGAGACCATAGTGCAACATGGGAGATGTAGTCCATCCAGGGAGCCCAGGCCATTGAGGAAAATGGGACCTTGACAGGGCCGCCCAAAGGGGGGGCAATTGAGGCAATTTGCCCCGGGCCCCGCAGGGCCCCCACGAGAATATAGTATTCTATAGTATTGCACCTTTTTTTTTATTGAAGGGGCCCCCGAAATTGCTTTGCCCCAGGCCCCCTAATCCTCTGGGCGACTCTGGAGCTCGAAGCACCCAAACTACAATTACCATGAGGCACCAAGGGATCATTTTTAAATGAAGAATTTCATATTTTCAGCTGAAAGGTTTTTGCCAAAAATTTCTGATTTCCAATTTTTCATCCAAAAAATCCACATTTTCCCTCGGGGGCGGGGAAGAGAGCAAAAATACTTTCTGAGCAGCTCTACTCATGACTCCCAGCCTGGGTCCCGATCCACTCGCTCATGCTCTAGTCTCGCCCATGTCAGTAGAGCTATGCCAGTTTCCATCAGCTGAGGATCTGGCCCCAAATCTGTAACAGATTTGGAGAGTTGCACCTACTTCAAACCAGGGCTGAATTTGGCCCAGGCTAAGTAAACTATTAAAAAGGTGTGAAATATTTCCCCAGCCTTTTCTCCAGGGCTGAATTTCTGGTAACTGTGTAAAGTGTTTATAAATTAAAACCACATGTAGCAATTGTCAGGGTTGTTTAAAATGAATGAATGAGTTCCCGGGGGCTCCCAGAGTGGAAGGCTGGACTTGTGCTTAAGGCAGAGGTCTACTCTTCAGGTCCTGATTCTGCCACAGGCTTCCTGTAGAACCTGGGCCAAAACCCTTAGGCTTGGTCTACACACTACCCATTCATGTCAGGATAACTACATTGCTCAGGGCAAATCCACACCCCTGAGCGACGCAGTGATACCGACATAACTCCTGGTGTAGACAGCACGGTCGACGGGAGGGCTTCTCGCGTCAACATAGCTACCACCTCTCCGGGAAGGGGAGGAGCTCTCCTGTCGACGTAGGCAGCGTCTTCACTAAGCGCTCCAGTGGTGCTGCAGCAGCACTGTAAGTGTGGACAAGGCCTTAATGTCCCTTGGTCCCCATCTGTAAAACAGTCCTCACAATCTTTCCTTTCTTCTGCCCTTTGTCTGTCTTATAGATTCATAGATTCATAGATTCATAGATTCTAGGACTGGAAGGGACCTCGAGAGGTCATCGAGTCCAGTCCCCTGCCCGCATGGCAGGACCAAATACTGTCTAGACCATCCCTGATAGACATTTATCTAACCTACTCTTAAATATCTCCAGAGATGGAGATTCCACAACCTCCCTAGGCAATTTATTCCAGTGTTTAACCACCCTGACAGTTAGGAACTTTTTCCTAATGTCCAACCTAGACCTCCCTTGCTGCAGTTTAAGCCCATTGCTTCTTGTTCTATCCTCAGAGGCTAAGGTGAACAAGTTTTCTCCCTCCTCCTTATGACACCCTTTTAGATACCTGAAAACTGCTATCATGTCCCCTCTCAGTCTTCTCTTTTCCAAACTAAACAAACCCAATTCTTTCAGCCTTGCTTCATAGGTCATGTTCTCAAGACCTTTAATCATTCTTGTTGCTCTTCTCTGGACCCTTTCCAATTTCTCCACATCTTTCTTGAAATGCGGTGCCCAGAACTGGACACAATACTCCAGCTGAGGCCTAACCAGAGCAGAGTAGAGCGGAAGAACGACTTCTCGTGTCTTGCTCACAACACACCTGTTAATACATCCCAGAATCACGTTTGCTTTTTTTGCAACAGCATCACACTGTTGACTCATATTTAGCTTGTGGTCCACTATAACCCCTAGATCCCTTTCTGCC